AGCTCATGCAACTGATGCTCCTGAAGCTCATGCAACTGATGCTCCTGAAACTCATGTAACTGACGCTCCGGCTCCTGCAACTGATGCTCCTGTAGCTCCTACTTGTCGCGATGGTTGGCACGAGTTTGAAGGTCGCTGTTTCCAGTACGTTCCGAGAGCATTGACCTGGGCTGCAGCTGAGGTAATCAGGATGTTTTGGATTCAGTGAAACATTTCTGCACCAGTTTTAATTTGCTGATGTTGACTTGCACAGCTGATTATTCAGCATTTTACCCTGACTTGGTGTCTCCAGGTTCCTCTGGTTATTTATTACACTGAAATATGTACACCATTCATTTCCATTTGCTTTCAATGACATGATGCATTCAAAAGGTTGCAAATCAGATTTGGACCAAATATGGTGAAAATGTAAGAAGTTGGAAAAACATTTAAACTAGAAAATGTGTTTAAGTGGAAAGGGGCGGGGCCTAAACATTTGATTTGACTAGAACCAAATAATTCAGTAAACAAAACTTTTGCTTTTGTGTTTGGCAGTTATGGAGTTATGAGTTGAAACATTAAGAACAGGAATCTCATCACTTTCACAGATATTTGGTCACAAACCAAAGTATACAACAAATTAAAATGTTGACCTGATGATGGCACTAGATGAAAAGTGCGAGGATCACCAAAGTTATTACAATTCATTTTGAGGGAAACACGAATGTCTGAGTCACATTTATTTACAGTCCATCTGATAGTTTGGAGATTTCAGTCGAAGTCACGGACATGCTGCCTCTGAAGAAAAGTCAGAGGATTCATTGACCTGCTGGTGGCGCTACAGGAATCCGCAGCTAGCATTGCTAATGATCAAGTAAATGTGACCAAAGACAAATCCTTCAAATTAAATCTGCCAGCGTAGCAGAGACAACAGAACAACAGTGAAGTTAAACACTGCAAAACTTCCATGTTTGAACACTGGAGTAGTCTTCTATTACCTCTTCTACAAAAATTAACTACAACCAGCCCAATATCTGAGCCAAACCTCCACCCCTCTGTTAGTGAAGGAGACAAGCAAATGTACAGTATTAGAGTCAGAGCCGGCCCAAGCCTCCATGGGGCCCTAAGCAAAATTTGATTTTGGGGGCCTCTATTGTCATCACTTGTAAAACTAGATGTGAGAACTTTTTGTTGTAGTTAGATTGTAATCCACAGTGATTAAGGCCATGGAAGCAGACAACAGATTTGCAAACTTGCTGAAAAATCAGCAACTCCCCCTACTGGCCACACAGAGGATGCAAACATACCTTTATCTTGTCATTTTTTTTCTCCTCTTCCTCTTTCTTCCTTTTTCTTTTTTCTGCCCCTGAAAGGCATGTCCTTTGTTGCGACATTATTATAAGTTAATTCATTAATGCAAAAACATATTTCTAGCAAACGTCACCATGTCTGTAATTAATGTTAGTTGTTATTAAACATTTGCTATCAAACGTTGTTATCAAAAATGTTGTTTTGATGCCAAAAAGCGACCCAGAATATATATACCGAGAATCAACTTATTCAAAGTATTACACAAACACAAAAACGTTAGCTTGAACAGTAAGTTTTCTAACCTAACAGTTAAAAGAGAAATGTCTCTAGTTTTGAACTAACGTTAGCTAGCTAATTTGCTATTATAGGCTAACGTAGTTGGAACAAAATATCAACAATAATTAGGGACTTTCCTAATTTGAGGAAACTTTTCAAAATCTCCGTGACACCAAACGTTACATTAGCAAGACATGCAAACATACCTTTATCTTGTCGTTTTTTCTCCTCTTCCTCTTTCTTCCTTTTTCTTTTTTCTGCCCCTGAAAGGCATGTCCTGTGTTGCGACATTATTAGGCCTTCCACCTGCTCCTAGCTCCTTGGATGCGCAGTGCGCACTGCACGGCTGGATGCACACCTTACTAGCGGAGCTCTGACATTTAGAGCAGAGAGGCCGTAGGAAACTATGCTCTGTTAACATAATATTGTCTTTTTGTACAACAACGTACATTTGATAATATATGAATCATCATCACTCACGCATGGAAAAAAATAATTAATTTTTTATTTTTTCAAGTGAATTGCTCTTGGGACCCCCTAGTGGTCACGGGGCCCTAAGCAGGTGCTTAGTTCGCTTATGCCTTGGGCCAGCTCTGATTAGAGTGCAGCTTCACATCTGGTCTGTGTCTGTCTGTCTGTCCTGCAGAGAAACTGCAAGAACTCGAAGTCACACCTTGCATCAGTGCACAATCACCATGAGTATCAGTTCATTCAGAAGATGATACGGACAATCACTCAGAATAATAGTGAAACCTGGATTGGAGGCTCTGACTGCCAGCAGGTAAGTTATCACTACAGCAGGTCTGATTACTGATAGGATGCAGCTTTTTTAGTAAATCTTTTCTGTTCTCTTCTTTCAGAAAGACACTTGGCTCTGGAGTGATGGCAGTATTTTCTTCTGGACATTCTGGTGTGCAGGGCAACGTAATACTTCAGGCTGTCTTCAGATGAATCATGGAGGTATATATCAAAATTTTAATTACCCTGATGTCTGAACAGAGTCAGAGTTAAAAACAAAAAAAGAGCGTCTTAAATAACAGTGTTGCCTGGTAGCATCTGAAGGGTGATGAACATCACGAACTGTTAAGCAACATGTGGAATTTATCAAATCACATGGATTTTGTTTTTACATTAAGTGTTGTTTTCATGACTGTGTCCAGTATACACATAGCTTCCTGATCTGTGCTCCTAAAAAATTCGGCCTTCAGTGTCGCTGATGTTCCTTTTGTAGGGGAACTGAAGCTGTGACTGACTCGCGTGTTTCTTGAGTTCACAGGTGAAGATTGTTGGCATGAAGATGAGTGTTCCTCCAAACTGCCATCTGTCTGTGCCTACAGCCTGTAGTAGCTCCTGTGCTGACACACAGAGACATGTTGGACCAACCACACACACAAACATCTGCTGTAGGAGTAACAGTGTGTTTGTCTCTGTGCCATCAGTCTCATGCTTAATCACATCTTTGATTCTGTGTTTGGCTGTAAAGCTGCTGAAGGGACGAAGCGACAAGAGACGTAAACAGGAGCAGGACTTCATCTTTGTTCTTCAATAAGAGGAGACTGAATGTATTATGAAAAGAAAGCTTTAGCACAAACCAATTTATGATGCACAATTAAAAAGCTGGAGCATTAAACAGGCTGGTCTCAGATTCTTTTCTTCAATCTAATCTCTTTAACTTTCATCTAAAACAG